CGAATTGTGTAAGAATTCCGTATGTTATGAACAAATTGACGCCAGTTTTTCATGCGTCTGTTATTGATGATGAATTTCATCATAACATTGTCAAAGTAACTGTGGATCGCCGAGTGGATCTGCAGACTACCTTGACAACGTTATGACGAAATTCATTATGAATAACAGGACAGACGCATGAAAAACTGACTTCAATTTGTTTTTTACGATAACAAATTGTCAAATTGTCCGCTCGCGCTTGTTGACACATAGCATAAATTATAAATTCATGTGTTCGCCTATTGAAAATGAAAATTAGCCAATGAAGGCGTGCGAATGTCTGCAGTTATCGTAAAAACAGCTTTCGTAAACCCGCTCTATATAAATGCACTATTAGCGCCTCACATTTACGTATCCCCAGCTTCAGTGAGTAGTCTTGCAGGATGTCGTGGTGTATAAGAGTAAAAGAAAAGACTGAGATCGAACGTGTTCCAAACATGGTGTTTACCAAAAATCACGTGTAGTGTTTCTTTTACTTTCTTTGTAATAATACTTAACTGTTATGCTATTGTGTCTTCGTCACGCAGGACAGTCAGGGATACACAGCTATGCACCACTCCACTTATGCGTGAGTTTATGTAATACATCAGTAGGCATACGACTTAAGTTGACTCAAGTAAACATATTTTTATTTGTTATAAGACTCCTGAAGCAGGCGCATGTTTTGTCAGGAGGCTGGTGCATAAGTCCGGCCTGCAGCCATAATCCTTGTGTTGTGTAGTGGAAAACGAAACAAAACGAAACAAAACAAAACGCCTGACCAAGGGCCCCTTGAGGGGGTGTAAGGGGAAAATATGGAAAGCCCAATACCTGCTTTAAAGTTGCATTTCTTTTTCTTTACTTTACTTTGGGTCGTCACTCACCTCAGTTAGTTACTGGTTGTTAGGCTTCTGACCTCGTGTAAGTTATCGATAGCTGTCTGTTGACTTCAGGGACCGGAGTGGTGAAGCAGTGAAGCTTTTATTGGAGAAAGGTTTCGACCCAAATGTGCAGCACAGCAGTAACAGAAGTACACCGTTACATTTGGCTGTGAAAAGAGATAATGAAATGGCTGTACGGATACTTACACAGTGCTCTGAGTGTAATGTTAATCTACAGGTTTGTTTAACGTGACCACTGAGTTTTACTAAGAAGTCAAGCATCCCCAATTGTATTCAAAGAAACATTAGTAGTCTTCTCGAGTCGTCCATTGTCCAGTATCAGGTGGAGCGTCCGATTTTTGAGCACAACTTTAAATGGGAGAAGTTAGAACGATTTTTGTTGAATTGCTTCTGTCCAGCTTCCTAAATTCTTCGGCTAAGTAACACACAATACCGGGCTTAAATAGCTCGTGTCAATGACAAAGGGATACGAATTTATCGCATTTCTGCCAAGCCAGCTTCTTCATGGTCATATGGCGCTATTTTAAGCAAACCCCTCTTGTAACATAAGATAATAAGAAAATGATCTGACTTAATGCTAATCTACAAACAGTTCGCGGTTTTAATTGAGCACGGATAAGCGTTTAATGATTTTGAAATAATACCAAGAGCTCCATAATAATGCGCGTGGATTGCTTTTAGGATGAAGCTGGTGACACCCCCCTTCATGACGCCATCTCTGGTCAGAAGCATAGCATGTTTGATATGCTGTTAGATAACGCGAGGCTCTCCCTGACAGTTTCCAATAGAGGAGGATTCAATTACCTTCAGTACGCTATTCTGAAAGGAAATAAGCGGTAGGTTCGGGAATATTGCTCTAGTACGTTGTCACTACAAACAAAACAACAACAACAACAACAGCAACAACAAAAACAAAGGATCATGATCGAAGTTAAGGGCGTTCATACAAGAAATAGATTAGGGCTATTATTTAGGTGTGAATTTGATAGAGTATTTATTGTCACTTACTCGAATATGTAATAATTAGTGTGAACCAACTTAAACATCGCAAAATATAATAATTTTATCTCTTGATTAATTATTTCAGTTGCTATCAGCCTTATTATGGCCTTTTTGAAGAATAAACTTGTTCTGTGTTCAACTTAACAGAGCTGTGGAAAAGCTTCTTGCAAAGGCCGGCGATATCTTGAATGTTGCAAAAAGTGACGGATTTACAACCCTTCATATTGCAGCAATCAATGACCACCGCGAAATAGCCAAAATCCTCCTGAAGCAGGTAAACATCCTCATTGTTATACGTGAGTATACGTAAATTATATTTGGCAAAAAAAGGGTAGAAAATAGCCATTTACGAAATGAGTAAAATTATTTTCCTGTTTTTGTCTCCCGTACGAAGTTATAATTATAATATTTCAGATATTTTAAAGAGTCATCGCCTATGCTTGTATTGAATGCAGCTAATTTTTATTGCGGAGCTCCGGCCGGGGCCCGAAGGGCCGTCAAGCGGAGCCCCATACTGTATCGTGGCTAGCGATATTGCTCGTGGGCGCGTACGCACGACGGCGACGACGGAGTCGAGCGACATGACGGCCATACTCCAAATAATAGGTTGACAGACATGCAGCCTTTAAGGTGTACTTCTTTGATATTGGACATCCAGGTTATGATCAATTGACACTTGTCAAAAAAGTATCCGCTGACCAGTATCACGTGACCATATCGCAGGCTCAAGTTTACAGTTCATCGAGATCATGTGGTTTTTTTAAGTTGACCGCTGACCAAGTGCTGGTTTTCGATTGGATCGCCGGCTCATGTCAGGTTAACTTGTTGAAGACAGGGCAGGATTCGGGACCTGATTAACGCTAACCCGGGATTAAAAGTTAACCGAATTATAACTTTTTCTTCCATACAAATGTTTTTTGTTGCTTTGTTTTGTGTATAAGGTGATTACTAAAACTCAAATCAGAAGGCCAAACAATATACTAAAAACCTCACCGCAAAGTTACTCAAAAAGTTAACTCAAATCAAAATTCTACCTTTTCCTGGGTTTGCTTAATCGGGCTCTGAACAACCCGGCCCAGGAGCTACGCTTTCAGGCTGGCCTAACTCTGTGTATTATTGTCAACTTTCTACACATAGTGTATGCATGTATTTCTTCTTCTGTTAAATAATTGTTATGGCTAAACGTTTTCTAATTCTGAAATAATTTGACGGTCGTTGTGTGCACAGGTCCTTAATTAAGGCTAGCTATCACAGTTTTTTTTTTGTCCGAAAGCCTGGGTGTGATGTCAATGCGCTTACAGTTGAAAATCAATCAGCACTTCATCTGGCCACTAATGAAGGTTACTCGGACATGGTCGAAATCCTTCTCGATCATGGAGCAGATGTAAATTCTGTCGACAAGGACGGAGATACAGCATTGCACATTGCCCTGGCTAAAGAGTCCTTGGTAGGAACAGATTTAATGAGTCAAATGGTAAACATATAATGCTATAGAGTTCTATTTATCAAAGAACCATCCGATGTCATCCAATTAAGTCACTCGAACATAGCTGGAAAAATGTAGTTTAACCGGTTATTTTGGTAACATGCTCTGTGTGGAAAAATATACGGTACTGAACTTCAATTGTATACCCGCAAGTTTAATCAGTGACCATTATGTTTAATCAGGTGGCTTTAAATTCGTTTTCAGCACTAAAAACAATATCAAACAGGATCTTTAAAATTTATTGGTAGTTTACATCTTTGTTTCAGGTTTTTAAAAGACTGTTTAGAAAATTTTCGAGACACAATTTCGCGATTTGGCGAAATTTGTATTGACCCCGCCTAAAGTCGAATACTAAATGATCGCGGTGCTCAGCTAGAAAAGAGAATAGAAAGGAAAGAGAAGACACTCTGCGTTTAGAATTGCCTCTTTTTGATTATTACGCAAGAAAAACATTTCTCGAAGACGGATAAATATCGGAGCTAGTGAGCGGACAATTTGATAACCGGGAAAAATAGTGTGTTAATGGATCTGTGGCTCTTACAGATGAGAATCGTGTGCATTCAATTCCGTTTTTTAGTGTATTACGTGTTTAAATTGTTGATGGTTCAATTTTCATGTACTTACCAGGAGGGAATGTATCTATTATTGACCGGAAATATTGTATAGCAACGTTCTAATCACGTCAATTTCTCTTCTTGTTTCAGCCTAGTCTTCAGTTACTGTTACGAGTTCACGGAGACAGTCGTTCCTACGCAACTGTTACACGCTGCTTGTTAAGTTACGGAGCTGATGTGTTCAAGGTGAATGGAAGAGGCGAAACCCCACTTCATAGATGTCAAGGGTCAGAAGTTGAACATCTCATTCGAGAGATTGCGGCATCTGGCGGGTACAAGAAACAGCAGTGTGTCTTTGTGAAGTCATTTGCTCATTTTAGAGTATCGTTATTACTAAGCATATGTAAAATGCTTTTATGTCCACTAAGTCAAGTCAAAATATTTCTATTTTTTCATTTATATCAGGACTTCACAGATTAGGAAAGTTCCGAGCTTTGGGGCTACAAACCCATCCTCAAACAGACAAATAATGAATAGTACTAGGTTAGCCAAAAAGGCAGGAGGGACCCAAAGAGATGTGGAAAGAAACAAGCCAAGTACAAGTGAAGCTAATAGCAAGCAAGAGGATATAAATGAGGACAACGGCGACATCACCGTCCAAGATCAACCTGTTCAGGCCACAGAGGGGCAGGAAAATCAGGGGGAGGAAGACGATCAAGGTGCTGTAAATGTGGCGATGGACGAGGACGTTAATATCGTGGAAAATTCTGTCGACGGAGAGCCCTCGTACCAGGTAAGATCGAAAAGAGATGGCACAACAATGACGTGTGACATGTACCAGCAGGTTAATTTATGAGATAAGACATGCCCGTACGTTTTTTAGGAGTTTCCTTGTCATATATAATATAGCTTTGCAGTTAAAAGAGCAGAGACGCCAGTCCAGTTTCGGCCTGAATTTAATCCGCGTCTCAGATGTTGATGCTGGGCGGATCATTGACGATAAGAAAACAACTTATCTTTCTCAATAATTAATGTTATTAATGAATCTCAACCCAGCACCCAGGATCTTTCTTGATCCCTCTTAAGTAAAGGAGTGGCAAAATGATGGTAATTTAAATAGCGTGAGAGTTTATGGGAGGATTTTATTTCACCTAATATTGTTTTAGAGTCTCACGCCAACCAATACATACAATAACGATTTATTCACAACATTTCTACTAAGTAGCTATTCCTCTGCGAATCTAAAAAAAGTGTAAAGTTTTGTGTGTATTGAAAGGTACAGGTTATCAGGTAGATATATATTAAAAAAGTACACCGACCGGTAAAAGGAATGCATCATTAATTGCCTCTACAAGCGGGATTTAGCCCAAAACAGTCTAAAAGCCAACAAATAAGCAAACTGAAACAAACAAACAACTAGCGTCATAGCTGCAGAGAATTCACCATTAACGTAACAAAAAAAAAAAAAAAAAAAA